CATAGTCCCTGGGAACTAATCGACCTAGGAGGGCAAGGAGCAAAATGTGTCCTTTGAATCCCTCTGACCCAATTAGTATAGATCTCAAGGCATGTCTGTTAAACATTCAATAATGTTAGTTCCTCCATTCTGGCATTTTTAATTACTGTGTGTCCTGCAGATAAATCTTGGGTAATGACCAGTTGGTCTCAAATAAACCTTATCTAGAGATATTTTTCTTGATCTTTTATGTATAATTTTTTTAAAAAAAAGGTAACAACAAAGGAGGCTAGAGATATGGCTCAGCAGTTAAGAGCACTAGGTGCTCTTGCAAAGGACCCAGGTTTGTTTCCTAGCACCTACATGGCAGCTAACAACTGTCCTTAACTCCAGGGAATTCAGTGCCCTCTTCTGACCTCCCTGTGTATTGCATAACATGGGTGCACGTACATGCATGCAGGCAATACACTCATACACTTAAAATAAAAATAATAAGGGGGCTAGAGAGATGGGTCAGTGGTTAAGAACACCAATGACTCTTACAGAGAGAAGACCAGGGTCCAAGTCCTAGCACCCACGTGGTGGCTAACAACCATTTCTAACTCCAGTTCCAGAGGATCCAATGCCTTCTGACCACTGTGGGTATTGCATGATTTGAATGCACTTACATACATGCAGGCAATACACTCCTACACATAAAATTAAAAAAATAAGCTGGGCGTGCTGGTGCATGCCTTTAATCCCAGCACTGGGGAGGCAGAAGCAGGCGGATCTCTGTGAGTTCAAGGCCAGATTGGTCTACATAGTTCCAGGCCAGCTGGGGCTACAGAGACCCTGTCTCAAAAAAGAACAATAAATAAATAAATAAATAAATAAATAAATAAATAAATAAATAAATAAATAAATGTAAAATAATAAATATTTTTAAAAAAGAATAAGTGGGTAGTTACCTTGGGTGACAGCAGTAGGTTATTGGGAGAAAGTGAGAAGGGTGACTCATAGACAGGCTGACAGGTACGGTGCTAGATGTAACAAAGAACTGATCTTGGCAGCCATGTCTGCTCAGTACATGAGAAGTAAAAACTGGACACTTCACAACTGCCTTCGCTAGATCAAGTTTTTTAGGTAGCCATGTCTGTGTCATCAGTTCTATATTTTCCCAAGTGATGAGTTGTTGATTGTTTTTTCCATTATTTCTGGAAGTTCTTAGTGGCTGTCTCCTGGCTAAGAAGAGCTAACTGCAGACCTTAAGTACACATCTTGGGTTTGGGGGAAGGGGTGCCTTGGAACAAGACCCACGTGCATTCAGTGTGGGAATAACAGTAATGAGATGGTAGTTTCCACTGTAAATGCAGCAATGCTTCTCTGAGAATTTGAGTGGGACAATCCCATTTTAAGCCATGTTTTTTTCACTCCTTCCTTTTGTTAAGCCCAAAGTGGCCTCTGGTTTCCTTGGGGCCTAAGTCTTGCACTTGGCACAAACCAAGGTTGCTGGTCACTCCCTTGCTTTTGTCACTTGGCACATGTAGCACTGTCTCTGTGACTCCTGCTGAATCCTTTTAAATTCCACTAGTGGCCAAGCTTCCATGTTATTATGGCTGAGTTCAGAGGTAGTCTCTAAGGGCCCTATAATATAGGCTTGTACTGCCCCCTGGGAAAGTGAGTGGGTCCCCTTAGGTGGGTGGATGTGCCTGGGGCTTGGTGTGTGGAGGTTAGGTAATGGGATAGGCCTGGCAGTATCTGTCCTGAGGCCACACTAGTGCCAGTGGGAGGTGCTAGTCCTGTCCAATTGAGGGCTGAGTTCACCTGAGTTAGTCTGAGAAGTATGTGATCAGGTACTTTGTCCCTTTAGGACAGAAGTGGGTTTGTTACATGGAAGGGTTTCTATGGGAATTGGTAAAAGATGCATGCTAACCATTAGGTCATTGCTAAAGAGGACACTAGCATACCACTTGTCACTTGGTAGGTGGGCTTTGTGTGTGTGTGTGTGTAGGGGGAAATAGTTTAGCATATCCAGGGTGTGTGAGATGGGCAGAAAGAAGTTTCACTCTATAGTTTTCTGGGCCTTGGGAGTTTGAGCCACACAGATGCAGTTTATGTGCTGAATGTTAGTTTATTTATTTGGAGATGGGGAGCACACCCATGCCACGGTACACAAATGAAGGTCAGAGGACAACTTTTGGGAGCTGATTCTTTCCTTTTACCATAGGTCCTAGAAATCAAACCTAGGTCATCAGGCTTAGCAGAAGGTGCTTTTATCCACAGAGCCATCTCACTGATCCTATTTATTTTTGAGACAGAGTCTCATGTAACACAGGCTGGTTTTTTTTGGGGGGGAGGGTTCTCCCTGTAGCCCCAGCTGGCCTGGAACCTCACTATGGAGGCCAGGCTGGCCTTGATTTCACAGAGCTCTGCCAGCTTCTGCCTCTCTGGTGCTGGGATTAAAGGCATGTGCCACCATGTCCAACTGGTTTTTATTATCTTTTAACTATGTGTATGTGTGTAGTTATCTGCAAAGTGAATGCAGAGCAGATGCCCTCAGAGGCCAGAGGCATCACATTGGAATCCCCTGGAGCTGGAGTTACAGGTGGTTTTGAACCACTTGATGTATGTGCTGGGAACCAAAATCAGGCCCTCTGGATGAGCTCTTAACTGCTGAGCCATCTCTCTAGCACACTGTCCCACTGTCCCATTCCCCCACCCCCTTGAACTTGCTATATTGCTGAGGCTGGCCT